TATAGAAAAATTTTAAGATTTGTGTTTGTGAGGTTGAAATGAAACATGAAATGAAAGCATGTACTATGGGTGTTCGAAACAGTGGCAAATTTTGTCGGCTGCGGGTATTTGGCGGTTTGGAATCCGGTCGGGTACTACAGTATGTAGCGACCACGCCTCTCCCCGGACCTGCATTATTCAAGGCAGCCGCTGCTGCAGACTGATTCCGAGAGTCGGCGCTCTCTGCCTCTCTCGCGCTCACGGGGCGGCCCGTGCGGGAGCGAGCGAGGCGGAGCGACGAGAACGACTCTCGGGATCAGTAAGGTCTGGCGGTGCGGTGAGGCGGACGCTCTTGCCGGATGTTTTTCGGACGTGGATGAGACGCACTGGCACAATCGATGCAGGCCAACGGTGTACACTCCCCGCCTGGTCTTGCATTGCGTCGCGGGCCCGAGGAATTTCCTCTTGAAACAAGGACTCTAGACGCGTTTTGAGCTCCAGAGTCGCTAAACAGGACTCGAACTGGACGCGTGACCCCACCAATGCATTGCTCTCCGAACGAGGAATCCATTGGTGGGGTCACACGTTCGGTTCGAGGCCAATTTAGCGATTCTGGAGCTCAAAACGCGTCTAGGGTTTCGGCCGCCTCCACCGGCCTTCTGGCCCACTGTGCGCATGCACGGTGGCACGTCGCTCTGGAACGTTGGCCTTTTTCCGCGTTTCGCCGGCACCGCCGCGGACGGGAGGGGGGGGGGGGAGCGGCGTGGTCCGCTCGGTGAGTAACGACGTCGCAGCGTGGGGAAGGAAAGGGAGGAAAGAAAGGCGGGAAAGGTGGGAAAGGGATCGATCGGTGATTTATCGGAAAATGCGTGGCTCGGCGCGAATTTTTATTCGGTATGCAACCCGTTCTGGCTGGTGGCCTGTATCTATTTTCTTTTCTCGTTTGACTTTGCCGTTCATTGTTGTTGTTGCCGGTTGTTGCTGTTGTCTAGACCGCGACAGCAACCCGGCCACGCTGCGTTCGGGAAGAGAGAGAGAGAGAGAGAGAGAGAGCGCGTGTGTGAGCGCGCGCGTGCTTGTGAGTGTGTTTTTCGTAAATATTTCCGCGAAAGCAATAAATCACTCTGGACGCAATATCTACTACTCCAGAAAGCCGTAGAGTTGCATTCCTGAGGGATATCTGGGCGGTGTGGGGCTGTGTGTGTGTGGGGCTCCCGCCGCTGGATGCGGCAACGGCGGCCATGGCGGCCATGGCGCGCGCGGAGCAGAGGTGCGCCGATGCGCTCCGAACGTGGAATTGGACAAGTGACGCAGAAGGGGAAAAATGAAAGTAAAAATTCAAATTCAAAAATCTCAAACTTTTTAATTAAAAAAGTCCAACAAATTTTAAACACTAAATCTACAAAATTTTAAAACCGCAAAGATTGCCAAAAACAACAACAACAACAAAACGAAAACAAAACAATGGGACCAATTGACCTTGTTTTTTGAGGCGGGAAGTATTATCTAATTGAACGCGACAGTCCGTGTTCACGATTTTTCGATGTTCCCGCACGAGATGCGCACTCGCGGTTTGTGAAAAAAAGAAAACGCTACCGAAACAACAACAAAAACAAAACAAAAATGCGTCCGTTTGGAATTTGTCGCGCGACCGCCGCGGATTGCATCCTTTTAGAAAGTGACTGACTAATCGCCAATCGATCACAGGGACGGACGGACACACACACACACACACACACACACACAGTCCATGGAGGCTGGGAGCCGAGGCCGGGCGGCGCCTGTATAGGGCAGTAGTACCTGGCCGGCGTGGAGGGGGCGGTGCGGGGCGGTGCCGGTCGCGTCGTCCGGCCAGCTCAATAAACACTCCTTGAAAATAATATCGAATAAAAAAAAAACAGGGAAAAAAATGGTGGAACTTCTTTTAAAAGAAAGAGCGCGGTGAGCGAAGCTGCAGGAATTGCGCGTGTCGCCACGATGCGATGCCAAAGAAAGTAGTGACGAAATCGAGCGTCGCGACAAAGCGGCGGGACGCGGCGACGTTGTTTTTTTGTCTTGTCCGCCGCGCGCGGGGCTGACGGGGCTGACTCGCCTGGCCCAGTGACGGACTGGCTGACCGCCCAGAGCGAGCCCAGAGCGCCGGCCGGTCACCGCGCCCGTCGCCGTCCGCGGACGTTTTGGGCCAACTTGTTTTGCAAAAACGGCATGTCCTTTCGGGGAGTCTGTTTGCAAAAACAGCATGCTTTTGGGGAGTCTGTTTGCGAAAACAGCATGGTCTTTTCGGAGCCTGTTTTCACAAACAGGATGGTTTTGAGTGTTATGTGTGTAAAAGCAGTTTTTTTTTTGGGGGGGGGGCGCTTTGTTTGCTAAAACAGCATGTTTTTGGGGGAGTCTGTTTGCACAAGCAGGATGGTTTTTGGGCAGCCTCAGCACGGCCGGGCGCCTGCGAGGTAGGCCGCCGCTCGACACGCGTGCTTTGCACGCGCCAGACTGGCCTACCTCGCAGGCTGAACCGACTGTCTTGGGGACAAGTCGATTTACTTCTAAATTTACTTACTTTTTCAAATTGGGAAATGGCAAATGGTCAGTGCCGTTCCGAAGTAGGCGCCACCGTGTGACGAAGAGAGGGTTGCCAACCTGCGTCCTGGCTCGGTGACGGGTTACCCACGCGCGCGGGTGTTATAGTGATCTTTGCCGCGCGCTCACACACACACGCACACTCACTCTCACTCACTCACTCACACTCTTACAACGTTGACATGCTAATTGTACTGCGATGTAACAAGGAGGGGCACAATGCACGTAAAGGGGGCTAGATTGATGCGTCTTGCCTCTGATGAATCGTTAGGCCCGTGTTGTTTGCGTTGGCAGCCTAGAGAGTCTCTCTCTCTCTCTCTCTCTCTCTCTCTCTCTCTCTCTCTCTCTCTCTCTCTCTCTCTCTCTCTCCCCGCATCTCTCTGTCGGTCATGCGTCGTCCGGGCCGCGTGCCAGTGTAGTCGGAAAGTCGCCCGCTTTTCTTGCACGCTGTCCCGAGCTGCCGGAAATGCGCGACATAAAGTGCCAACCTTTGAAATAAAAAAAAAACTTTAAAAAAATTAAATATTGATTTAGTGTGAATGGTCGTGAGCGTTAGGCCCAGGTGAACAAAACGGTGAAATCGAATTTCTGAAACGAAGTCACCTTGCGCATGACGTCGCTGTGCGTGCTTTCCGTTTGAGGAGTTCCTACGAAGTTGGAATTTTTGTGAGGTTGGCACTCTGGAGGAATCCTCTCCGCTGGAATGCTTTGCGAAAGACGGGCGTTCGGCGCGGCGGTCCAGACCGGTGCTGCGCCCTGCGGACCGAGAGCCGCTCTGTCTCGCTCGCACCACTACGCGACGCCCCGTGAGTGCGAGAGAGACAGGGCGACGAAAACGACTCAGTGCTGGCGCTGGCGCCGCCGGGAGGCGACACTCCTGAAAGTGTGCCTGCCTACGTGTGACTACACTACGTGTGACCGCTATCGGGCAGTTAATCGTTAATCGATGTTGTAAACCGAGCGCATGCATGTCCCGCGCACCTTTGCCCCGCCGTGCCGGCCCCGCCATGATTTACTATCTCGCTGTGTTGTAGGGTGTAGGTGGCGACGGAGTAGCAGTCGCGCATGCTATACTGCCAGAAATAGGCGCCCGCCGCTCGCACGCTCGAAGCGCTGTCAAGTCGAGCCGGCCTGCCTGCCCGCACTTCCTGCACTGGTTTTGGGTGGTCTAGATATCTTTGGCACTCACACTATGATTACACTCTGCTTCTCGTGAAGTAAAAAGAGCCTCCAAAAATAATACGGGTTTACACAAACCTTGAAAACTTTGAAATCAGGAAAAGTCAGGAAAAGAGGGTAACGGAAATGCCAGGGAATTTCGCAATATATTTACTGCGACACTGGATCTGTTTGCCGGACAACCGCGGAGAAGAGCGCCAGACACTCGCGTTAAATCAATATTTCGATGCGCTCAATTGTCAGGGAAATTTGCAATTTCGCGTGAGGAAAATCAGGGAAAAGTCAGGGAAAATCTCATTTTTTTTGTTGAAACCCTGATGATTGTCAAAAAATATGTTTGAAAAACAAACTTGTTAAAATTGTTATCTTATTTGCTTCTGTTGGTGGTACAAGATGTTACATAGATTCTTCACAAAATTTGGTACATATGTATTACAATTACTGGAGCATTTGAGAATTTTGCTCAGTTTTTAAAATCTTTCTTATCGACCAGCCATTTTTTAGTTCTTTTTTGAACATTAAAAGTGCTTCCTCAGATAACCTGTGGAACACATTGATAAATTTCAATCGTAGTATTGTCTTATTTTTCTCCAAGCAAGGAGCGTAACAGGGTCGTCCTCATCCCTTTCTTTGCATGGGCGAATTTCTTTTCTGCGCTTCATTTAGAGTGTTTGTTTCTGATTTGTTATAATATTTTTTTTGTAAGGTAGTGCGAGGGGCTTGTGTCGCGCCACGCCAGTGTAAGTGGCTTGTAAGTGCGGCCTAAGCGGATGCCGAGACGGCACGGCCAGGCACGGCAGACAGGCCGATCAATCTGGGGGTCGTTTTGGGGCCGCGGCGACGTGCCGCGACTGCCGATGCGCTGCCAATAGCCGGGAAGGACTGCGAATAATCGCGTGGAGGGCGGTTAATTTAAGTGCGGAGAGCTTTAGGGCCGCGGGGTACTAGCAGTGACTGGTGGGCAGGCGCACAGTGGAAGACAGGCGCAGGCGGCTGAAACTCGAGACGCGTTTTGAGCTCCAGAGTCGCGAAACAGGCCTCGAACCGTACGTGTGACCCCACCTATGGATTCCTCGTGCGGAGAGCAATCCATTGGTGGGGTCACACGTTCGGTGCGAGTCCCATTCGGCGACTCTGGAGCTCGAAACGCGTCTAGAATTTTGGCCGCCTCCACCGGTCTTCTGGTCCTCTGTATGGCGGAACGCGGAGCTCAAAGGCTTTTGTTGGAACGGTGGTGACTGACCGTGTCTTGCTTTGTGTTGCAGAGAAACCTGGGTTCACGTCGCCGTACTCCAACAGCGACAATGGAATGGTGAGTATAGAGTTTTGATGCGTTTTTAATCCCCAGTGCGATTTAGATAGGACTCCGCCCTGCCGGCCACCGAGTAGTGAGGGTGGCGCCGCTCTGGAGGGAGACTTGACTTGTGGGATTAGCACCATCCCCTGAGGTGTCCCCACTAAGTACTACGCACACACACACACTCACACACACAGACACGGGCTACATCCTTCAACTATTCACCTAAGCACATGTAAGGCGGCTTGGAGATCCCCCCCCCCCTCTTCGTGAAAACAATGTGGAATCCCTGAGAAAGCCCCCCACCCCTTTTTGGTGGAGCAGGAACCGTCAGAACGACCTTCACTCTGTGTGTCCCTGGACGTGGCTTTTTTCTCGCCCAAGGAACATCTTGATCGCTGCTGCTGCCTTTGCAAACCCAGCCTTTTTCCATCTCTCCCTCTCCCTCTCTCCCCCTCTTCCCCCTCTCCCTCCTTTCTCCCTCCTTTCTCCCTCCCTCTCTCGCAACCCTTATTTTCCTACCCCCAGGTTTTCTATCCCTTTCTCCCGGTTTCCCTCTATCCGTCTCGTTTCCACCCGCATCCCCCTTCCATCTTCTATCGCTCTCGCACCCCTTTCCGCCTCTCGTAATCCCCCGGCCGGTAATGACTGCATTTACAGGAGGAAGCTCTCATAATTATCATAACTATCGTAATAAAACAAATAGAGCGGACAACGGCGCCATTGCCCTTCTCCCTCTCTCTCTGTCTCTGTCTCTCTGTCTCTCTCTCTCTCTGTCTCTCTCTCTCTCTCTCTCTCTCTCCCTCTCCCTCTCCCTCTCCCTCTCTCCGCTTTGCGCCCCTACATGGGGGCAGGGCTAATAATCCTGCAATTTTATGGCGGTGCGGCGGGCTGTAATATGACACTTGACTAGAAAAGCACCGCCCTCTCCCTCTCTCCTTTTGTCAGGGGCTGTCCATAAATCTAGCCATTTTTAAAAATCTTTCTTTTTTTTTAAATTTTTTTAGGGGTGTTTTTTTTTGTCTGGTCAAGGTCGTCGCGTCCAAGAGTATGCATAGGGTCCTTTTTGCACACTTTTCCCTCCCAATCCATCACACACACACACACACACACACATATGCACCAACGTGCCCCCAGCGGTCTAGCTGCCCAGCTCTTCTCTCTCTCTCTCACTAAAAATCAAAGGGTGAGACATCCGTCCGATTTTCGGTGATACAAAAAGTATGACCGAAAAACGATCATACACAAATGTATGACCGAAAAACGGTCATACTTAAATGTGTGACCGAAAAACGGTCATACTTAAATGTATGACCAAAAAAAGGTCAGACATCAGCGAGACTGGCTATTGTTTAGCTTGGGTATATATCAGCCTTTACCCGTGATACACTATAAAGTATGACCGTTTTTCGGTCATACATCGAAGTATGACCGTTTTTTCGGTCATACATCGAAGTATGACCGTTTTTCGGTCATACATCGAAGTATGACCGTTTTTCGGTCGTACATTTCAGTAAGACCGTTTAAGCGGTCAAAAGTATGACCTTTCTATTTTCAGTGCTCTCTCTCTCTCTCTCTCTCTCTCTCTCTCTCTCTCTCTCTCTCTCTCTCTCTCTCTCTCTCTCTCTCTCTCTTTCTCTCCTCCTTTTTTCTCCCTTGCCACGCATCCCCCTTCCGGGGCGAGTCCGATCTCAAGAAAGCCTCGGAGGGCGCGAAACTTGTTTTATTAAATTTGTCCTAATTTGTGTGCGAGGCATTGGGCGCGCACTTGTTGTCCTCTCCCTCCCTCTTGTGCTCCGTGTACGGGTGATTAAAATTGCGCGCCACTAGAGAGAGAGAGAGAGAGAGAGAGAGAGAGAGAGAGAGAGAGAGAGAGAGAGAGAGGGCTGGTCCGCTTGTGTGGGAGAGAGACGGCGCACGCGTTCCCAGGGAGTTTGGTGGGGATCTAGCTGTTAGCTTTGCACCGTGTTATGACGAAGCGTACGAGGTCTTCGAGGTAAACAAGTGGCGGCTTCCGTCGGACCGACGAGGTGACGGCCTGACGGGAACTGGCTTCTTGTGGGGCTCACTGTGTCCACACACTGCACTCGGGGCCCCAGGGACCCTGTGTGTGCTCGTCGCATTCTGACATCGATCAATTTCAATATTTATTTCAAATATTTTATGAAATCATGGTAAAGAAAACCATGTGCATATCCAACTTTACAATAAATTGGGGTGTGGCAATGATGCTGAACGCAGAAAAAACTCGGTTTTTGTTTGAAATGCTCGAGAATTTCTCCCCGCGGTTTTATCTTCTTCCGGTAAAACTTACGTTCAACTCATTTTGCCGTTCCCCTTCAAGTTTTATCCCAAATAATTCTTTCGGCCGGCATTCACCTGGCTGGCGCGGACGCGTATATATAAGTGGCGCGGCTAAATATTGCCCACCTGTAAATAACGCGGTAAATATAGAGTGGCCCCCCGGCCGGGGTGCGAGGCGCAAAAATGGACGCGCCGGTCCATTATAGTGGTAATTTATGTGGGGACACCCTACCTTTAAAAGAAGCTGAGCATGTCGAGGCACCAGAGTGAAAACCAGCTAGAGGGAGAGGGAGGGGGGGGGGGCACCCTTCACCCTTGACTGCGGGGAGGCACTGCCTCGAAGGCAGCGGCGCTAAGTCGCCGACAAAGTGTGTCTTCTCTACTTTTAATGTCCGTACTACGGCCAACGACTTCTCTACTAAACAAATAAAATACAGATTTAGAGGCGCGGGCGAAAAGAAGAGGGGGGAGGGGGCGCAACTTTAAGGGCGGTGAAGATGTTAGTTTGCCGCTGCAGCCAGAGGGCCGGAGAAGCTTATGAGAATAGTTGGAGCTCTGGGGAAGGGGGGTGGGGGAAGGGGACGGGGGTGTCTAGCGCCTACTTTCGGCAACGGCGTTCTATCGCCCGCCCGCCTGCCTGCCGCGCCTTCCGTAGACTCCGTGGTCAACCCGCGTCTCCTCAAAATGTTGACCGCCACCAGGCAGGACCAAAGGTGTCACTATCTCCTCCTACATTCCAAATACTTCGGTGAAACTGTTGTTTCGACTTCCAACTGCGAGGGCGACTCACTGAGTGGGTGCACTTTGTTGCCAAATTGCAGCGGACTTCTGTTTTACGGTGCAGGACCTTCTCCCCTTCTAACGTCGCTGTTTTTTGTTTTCTCTCTGCAGCCATACGGGAACAGTTACGCGGGACCGGGCGCCGAGCCCTTTGGACCGGACTCACCTTATTTTCCCTTCGGTAACTCACCTAGAAGACCTCCGCCACCAGGTACGTGCGTCAAAACCATGACGAAACAAGAAAACAATTAAAAATTGAGTAGCTTGTTTGCGTTCGAAGTACTACTGCCGCGGCACGAAAAAATGGTAAAGACGGTGGTCGTTATAGTCCGGTCGCGTCAAAGGTTTCGTGGCGTCGAGGCAAATAAAGATGGTGCCAGTGGTCTGTGCCTTATGCCGTTGGTTGTACCTTTGTCTGAGCCTTTTACCTCTGGCTGGCCTTTTGCTGTTGTCTGAGCCTTAAGCCTTTGGGTACCTTTGGCTCAGCCTTTTGCCTGTGGCTGTACCTGTGGCTGTACTTTTGGCTGTACCTTTGGCTGAGCCTTTTGCCTGTGGCTGTACTTTTGGCTGTACCTTTGGCTCAGCCTTTTACCTTCGGTTGCACAGTGGCTGCATCTTTGCGTCAGCCTTTTGCCCCTGGCTGTACCTTTGGCTTGGCCTTAGGCCCGTGCGCATTGTGTCATCAGCGCGCGCCTCCTGTGTAATTCCGCGCAGTAACTTTGGAACACATCCCGTTTTGGAGCGATAGGCGGCGAGGGGCTTGCCCGGGCCGTCCAGATAGTGACGTAACGGCGCGTAGCGCGCCGCCGCCAGTGCCAATGTGTGCGAATGTGTGTGTGTGTGTGTGTGTGTGTGTGCGCGCGCGCGCGCGCGCGTGTGTGTGTTGCGAGCGTGAAGCTGCGGACGTCAAGAACTGGCCGCTGTTTTTGTCTGGCGTTGTCCGCCGTACAGTGGGCCAGAAGACCGGTGGAGGCGGCTGAAACTCTAGACGCGCTTTGAGCTCCAGAGAGTCGCTGAATGGGCCTAGAACTGAACGCGTGACCCCACCAATGGATTTCTCCTTCGGAGAGCAGTACGGGGATCACACCTTCGGTTCGAGTCCCATTTAGCGACCCTGGAGCTCAAAACGTGGCTCGAATTTTGGCCGCCTCCACCCACCGGTCTTCTGGCCCACTGTGCGCCACACTGCACGCGGGCTGGCCTACGTCGCGGGCTGAGAAGTGTTGCGCTTGTGATTGGCGGCGAAGGCGGGTGGACGGACGGAGTGGGCGGGGGTTGGGCAGGACGAGACGCCAAGTGAGGTTGACGCGAGCGCGCCCCGCCGCGCCCCGCTCCACCCCGCCCCGCCGCGCCAACCTCCAACTGATTTATGTGTCGCCGTGCGATGCATCCCCCGTGTTGCATGAGCTACACGTTACGCCCGGCTGCAGGGCTGCAGGGGTGGAATGGAGCCGGTGGAGCCCGCCTACCCTGCCAACAAGCCGCCGCTGTACCTCTACTAACCCCTCTTGGCGTGGAGTGGAGCGAGGCATCAGCGGTTTTATCCCGAAGTCCGTCAAATGGTAGAAGGCATTTGTTGTCTGTACGGGCGTCTGTAGCGTCCTGCTGGTGTCATATTCGGAGTGTGCCTCTTTAGGGTGTGCCACTTTGGGGCCACTTAAGGGTGTGCCACTGAAGGGTGTGCCACTTAAGGGTGCGTCACTTAAGGGTGTGCCACTTAAGGGTGCGTCACTTAAGGGTATGTCACTTAAGGGGGTGTGCCTCTTAAGGATGTGCCTTTAAGGATGTGCCACTTCAGGGTGTGCCACTCTTGGGGTGCGCCGCGACGGTGCCCCTTGCCGCCCCGCCCCCCGCCGTCGGGCTGGGCGTTCCGGGGCGTTCGTGTCGGCGCGGCCGAACATGTGGTGACCACTGATAGCCATAACTCTTTGGTTTTGACAATGCACCGAGGACGCCGTCGCGTTGGCCCCGTCGAGGACCCCGTCGAGGGCACCGGGTTATCGGGCGCTGGCGGTCGCGGAGTCGGGGAGTCGCGGAGTCCCGCGAGAGAAGGACGAGGGTCGCCAGGGCAACTTGTTGACAACCCCGTCTGATTCCGTTCGCTTTTTCTCTGTTGCAGGATCGACGGTGAAGCGGAAGAGAGAGGTGAGTCTCATCATTCTTCGCGTGTCGCTCTGGTTATCGAAGTGTGTCCGCGGTGCAATAGACCGAAAGACCGGTGCAGGCAGCCAAAACTAGACGCGTTTTGAGCTCCAGAGTCGCTAAATGGGACTCGAACCGAGCGCGTGACGCCACCAGAGGATTGCTCCCCGAACGAGGAATCCATTGGTGGGGTCACACGTTGGGTTCGAGTCCCATTTAGCGACTCTGGAGCTCGACACTCGTCCGGGATTTTGTCCGCCTCCTGGTCCACGGTGCGCGCGGGTCCCGAGGCGGGTCCCCAATAACAACATGACGGGCTGGAAAGTGGCGGCGGAATGGTGGCCGATCGTGTTTGTTTGTAATTTGCCTAGGTGTGCCATGCATATGCATCGGCCGCTCATAACGAGGTGGCGCCAAGCCCTGCACTTTATTGATTAGGCCGCCCGGTCATGTATCAGCAATTGGCAATTACTTTCGCCGGACCGGGACGGGACGGGACCCCCTGCCTCGCGCCGCCCAGCAGCGCGGCCCAACAGCCTCATTCCGAGAGGCGTGTTCGTCGCTCTGTCTCTCTCGCACTCATGGCCGTCGCCTATAGGTGCGAGGAGAGAGTCGGAGCGACGAAAACGACTCTCGGAATCAGTCTACTGCGTTGCCCAGCGCAGCCCAGCGCAGCCCAGCGCAGCCCATCGCCTATCAAAACGCATATGTGGCCGCAGCACCTAAACCACTCTGACCCATTTCAGGGCGACAATTTGACTGTGTCACATTTATTTACTCTGAAATCGAGCACGACTTAAAATGTCGACCACGTAAATACTTCCTCTTCACACTTTTGTTTTAAAATTTCTCCAAATTTCATTCAACTTAATTCACAGCCCACTGTAATAATCAATCGAAAAATTTTATAACCAAATAAAGTCAAGTTCGAATCCTTCTGAAGCTTACTGTAATTTTGAAATAAAAAGAAAACTGAGGTGGGTGCGTGCTTGCGGTCCCGCTGCCCCACTGTCGCGCCGAGGGGCCGAGACATGCAGGGCCAATCAATCGCCGCGTCTAATGATGTTGCCAACTAAATGGAGCCGCCAGGGCGCGCCAGGGGGTTATTTCGGGGGCGCGTTTACCGTGTCGATAATGTGCAGTGCTGTGTGAGTGGCGCGCATTGCGGGCAGCGTCCGGCCACTGTAAAAAAAAAAAACTATCTTAAATTTAAATTTTTATGTTTAGAAGTTGATTTTTAAAAAGTTGATTTTTTAAAAAGTTGATTTTGGAAAAATTTTGTTGCATTTGAAAAGATAACTTGATTCAAATTTAAACTTTATTCTTTTTTTAATTGACTTGTTTTTAAAATTTGATTTTTTTCGTTATTTACATTTTTTTTGAGTGTGTGAGATTTCGGGCGAGCTGCCTTGCCTGCCATTGTTTCGCCGTCGTCGTCACTGCAAATGAACGAACGAAGCGACAGCTCTTTGCCGCCGGCCTCGCTGGCCTCCCTGTGTTCCTCTCGCTGGGGTGAAGAGTCATTCCCCGGAATGGGAAAGGGTGGGGGAGCCAAGGGGGCAGAAAACCATAAAAATCTTGAGATATATTATGAGGTTGTGGTTTTGTGGGTGGGGCTGGGAGGCCGCTTACACGCACCCTCCTCCACTGTGTGCTGCTGCACTGTGCGGAGCGCGGCCGCTTTTTGCCGTCGCGTAGCAACCGCTGGGCCTGCCGCACAGTGGGCCAGAAGACCGGTGGAGGCGGCCAAAATTCCAGACGCGTCTTGAGCTCCAGAGTCGCTAAACAGGACTCGAACCGAGCGTGTGAACCCACCTATGGATTCCTCGTTCGGAGAGCAATCCATTGGTGGGATCCACACGTTCGGTTCGAGTCCCATTTAGCGACTCTGGATCTCAAAACACGTCTAGAATTTTGGCCGCGGCGGCCGCTCTGTGTTGGTGAGATGTGTTATGATGCTTGCGGTGTCTGGCCCGGGCTTTTTTGTGGGGAGCCCTTCGGTTTGGCGTTCAACGTTTCTTCGGCCGATGATGCTTTTCTCGCCGTGTGCCGCGCCTATGGGGCATTGGCTTTGGGTCGTGTGAACCTCTTTTGCATCAGGTCCGGCCGGTACGTTAGTTTCATTTGGGACAATTTGCTTTCTCTCGCCCCATCCTCCTCCCCCTCCTCGTCCTCTGGGAGTGCCTAACCCATACTTGCTGCTTGGGCTTAATAGGCTAATTCAACGCGCTCGTTTAGCGTGGCGCAGCCAAGTCGCTGTTTTTGTTGTTGTTTTCGTTCTTCTTTTCGTTGCTTTGGACCGCGGTTATGCTTCCCGCGCGCGTCGCGGACCCATTCCATTTTGCATCTTGAAATTCGTTAGACGGCGCGAAACGTACCAAAAGAAGCTGGGAAAGACTTTTGCTAAAAATAGTTACGTTCTTAAAACTTACATTTTTTAAAGCCTTTTCTGAATTTTTTTTTAAATTTCATAACTTTTTAAATTTTTTTAAATATTTCAAGTACTTACGGTCAGGGCGGGGAAAAATTGGACAGGACAAGAACTGAACACCCCATATTTTACTTCAAATACGGTATGCGCAGGCACATCAACCATCAAAAGTTGTTCCGTGGCATCAGCGGTTCATTACATGACAGTTCTAAACCTGTGCATACGGAATTTGAAGTAAAATAGGGGGGGAGGGGGTTCAGTTCTTCCCCTGTCCAGTTTTTCACCGCACTGACTGTTGAATTTAAAAAAAAATTTGAAACTTTCCGAAATAATTGAAATTTTTATAAATATTACATATTTGTTGCCATTGCTCACGATGTCATTATCTTTCCTTCTCTCCAGAGCCTCGATCCAGCAGACACGGCGGACATCGTGGCTCCAGAGCACTGGGTGAGTACTAACTAACTCTGTCACGTGGCCGACGGGGAAGTCCCTTCCCCCGGAATCAATCCAGACTGCCGGCTTGGCGGGCGAGACACCTCCTAGAGCCGGAAGCACCCCCGCGGCGCCCGTTTGTTTTCATTACGAGCAGGATCGCTGCACTTCGGCTCTTTCCGGAGCGCGCTCGGCTCGTTGCCGAAGTCCCGAACGGCGTCCTTGTTTATGTGGTGGTGCTGCGAGCAAGCGGAGCGAGGACGGCCGACGGGGTGCTCGCGTGCGCTGCGTGCGACCTCCGCGCCGGGGCGTCATCGCCGGCCTCGAGGGTGTCGTCGACGCCGCCTGGTCGCCACACTGCCAAAACCTGCCTGGGAAAAAATAATTTTATTATTAATTTGAAAACGTGGATTCAAGGAAGGTTCATGGAAGCAGATGATACTCGTATCGTGGCAGTATGCTCTTCACGGTAAAAACGGTTCCTGGTTTTCCCAGGAAGTCCCTGGCAATCGACTGTCCTCACTAGAGCACTTTAAAAATTTGAGTCGTCACGATTTTCAAGGCTAATTTTCCTTACAATGTCATCAAAACAATTGATGACATTGTTGTCACGCCCATGCAATAAGTATAGGAGCTTTGATGAAAATGTCATTAACTTGTGATGAGATTGTCATCATTTGAAAGTGATGTCATAAAGTTTTGTCATAGAGTGACAACAAAATTCCACCGTGAGGCTACCTGGGAATACCGTTTTTTTTTCTGTGTTGTTTCAGTCATGTAAAGGTATCGTCTGTTAAAAATGTTTTCAAAGGAATTATAGCGGAAACGCAAACACTTAAAGATGAGCCTTATTCACCAAAGTTGGCCCGAAATTTCGGGTCTACATGTCTAAAACCGCGACCATGACCATTTTGGTGCGCCGTCTCTTTTCCTCTTGGGGGAGGGAGGGGGAGCGAGCCCGCGAAATCGGGTCACTCCCATGCTACCCAGTTTCCGAGCTCTCCGCGGCTCTCCGCACGCGTCGGCACGCGTAGAGTCGCCAGCCGAACACCTGTGTCAACGGTGACGGTGGAAATGCATAGGCCTGGACGCCCTGTGCTGTTTGTTCGAGTAGTGTAGGCCGACCTTACGGACTGCCAAATTGGAACAGAAATCGTCTTCAACGAATTGTTGTGTTTCTGTAACCGTCTTGCGGTGAAAGGCTGCACTAGCATATTATGGAGGGGATTTTCTCCATATTACAAACAAAATTCGTCAAAATATCTATAAGGTACAGTGAATTCTCAATGGTATGTTATAAAGTCAGCTGCACCACCATAATATAGAACATTTTCACCATTAAAAAAAAAAAGAATTTTCACTACATAGTGGAGGCTTTTTATTTTTTGGGCGTTGACTTGTACTCCGAGTTTTTCCAAGTCCGAGTCGGACAGACGGCAAAGTGTGGGTCTGATTTGCATGACTAGCAGCATCCTTGGCGGGGAACGCTGTGGCCATACGGGACGACGGCACCGCACTATTATGGCTCTATTACCGCCACACCCGCATGCATCTGCTAATGATGAGCTCGCTGGATGAAAAATGGATGTGCTTCGCTACTGCTGCATTGATGGCAGAAAGTTGCTTTTTGAAGGCAGCGCAGCTGATTTTGTAACCAATGAGTTCGGGGCTAAATATTTTTACACTGTGCGGTGAAAACTTTGTACAGCCGTTTGGTTATGTATTTGTGGGCCAGAAGACCGGTGGAGGCGGCAAAATTCTAGATGCGTTTTGAGTCGCTGACTCCAGAGTCGCTGAATGGGACTCAAACAGGACTTGTGACCCCACCAATGGATTGCTCTCCGAACGAGGGATCCATTCAGGGAGTCCCATTCAGCGACTATGGAGCTCAAAACGCGTCTTGGCCCACTGTGATCCGTAGGTGCGTTCTGTTCCTCCTTGGCAGTGTATGCGTTGAAGTGCCGGCTCTCTAGATCAGTTGAACTAACAGCATAAACGGCACCCATTGAGCCCGCGTTGGACAGGCCCGCCCACACCGCCGCGCCTTAACCTGTTGAGGGCACCAATTCCAAACGCTCTCTGTCTTTTCTGCCGGGGACAAAAAGAAAAGAATATTGGCGGACTTTTCTGGAAAGTCCAGCCTTGGCTTGGCGGACACGCACGCGGCGGTCGATGTTCGAGACTGCGTCGGTTGCAAATCGATTACCTGGTAGCCTTTGGTTTATACACCGCAGCGGCGCTCGCCACAGCCAGACGTTCGGCTCAAGGGGGCCGTGGCACTGGACACGTTTTATGAGCTTCAACTTTTTGAATGGGACTGCTGAAATCAGAGACTCGTGAAAGACTCTGTGCAGATATTTCGCGCCAAAGAGTTTGACTTGCCTTTTAGCTGCAGGGATTTAGTCGGGGGAAGAAAACCTGACTTATTTATCAGGGTTCCCAACGCGTTCCCAAAGCCCAACAATAGCCAATACTGCCCCTCGTTGTCCAGCACGGCATGCCACGGCAGTGCGGGGCTCTGCCTCCAAAGTCCTGCCAAAGCCCCGCCTCCGTGCTGTGGGTAGTGTCTGGGACGCTCCATGACTATTCAATCATGATCGTAAGTGCCTGCAAGCGGCTAAGACCTCTATGGGCATGGCAGGGGTGGCTCACGCACACACAGGCCTACATTCTCGTACACGAACACACACACGCAAGGCATTCATACACATGCGTATCGCAAATTGTGGCCGCCTCGGCTGAGACTCTAATCGACCAGTTAGCGGAGTGTTGGCAATGGTGAGGACTTTCGCCCCATGTGGACTGGCAGGGACACGGGTCATCCCGGCTGGAACGAGACTCGCAATTTGACCCCGACCCACAGTGGGCCAGAAGGCCGGTAGAGGTGGTCAAAATCCTCGACGCGTTTTGAACTCCAGAGTCGCTAAATGGGACGCGATGGGACGCGAACCGAACGTGTGACCCCACCAATGGATTGCTCTCCATTGGGTTCGAGTCCCGTTCAGCGACTCTGGACCTCAAAACGCGTGCAGAGATTTGGCCGCCTGCACCGGTCCTCTGACCCACTGTGACCACGGCACAGATAGCGAGGCCTCCGTCCGCGTGGCAGGTGGGGTTAATGCGCCACTGGAAAGCGACGGTTCAAAGGGCTATCGTCGCTGATACCAAACAATCCGTCGTCGTTGCTTTTTTTTCCGCCTCGGCCCCGCACGCGAACCGCACGGCTATCGGACGTGCGAAGTGACGATCCGTCCCTCTCACTCACCTCTCTTGCAGCGACCGGCAGTGCGACAAAGAGGGGGCCACTGTTTCCGGAAACCGCCTGTCCTGGTCATTACACCGCGGCCCCTCCCTTACGGCCGTAAGGGCGAAAACCACCCCCTCCCCCCCCCCTTCCCTCTCTCTCTCTCTCTCTCTCTGTCCCTCTAATTGTGCCATCGACCGGCCAGCCAGGGCAGCCAGCCTCTGTGCGGCCAATCAAATTCATTTATTTCGGCAAACGCATTGATTTGGGCCAATCGCCGAAATGACGGTGGCTGCCAGCTCGGCCAGCCCGGCCAGCCCCGGGGGCGACAATGAGCCACACTGTAAAAGGGCCGGACGATTAATTGAAACTCGGCGGCGCGGGTTCGACCACCGCCGGCGGCGGGCTTGTTTAATATTTCTGCCCTTACACATAAATCTGCAGCGTGAATAAGTGCGGCGGAAAAGCGGGAAAAAAGTGGAGGGAAGAGTGCATTGGAACGGGGTTTGGGAAGGGAGGGGAGGGGGCAGGTCGGCCCGCGCGATTTATCACCAGGTGTGTTTCTGCCGTGAGGCCCGAAAAATTAAGGAACGGTGGAAAAAAGGGGTGGGAATTACTGAGGATTTCCAGGAGTGTAAGGCAACTGAATTATGGCGAAGAGTTCGGGGGAACGATACCACGTTGAGCGCGCCCACTGGGAAATTTGGTCGATACGGTAGTCAAACGGTATGTGGAAACGGTCGCACAGTGGGCCAGTAGACCGGCGCCGGCGGCAAACTGTAGACGCGTTTTGAGCTCCAGAGTCGCTAAGTGGGACTTGAACCGAGCGTGTGATCCCACTGGTTTTGTTCCTAGTTTGCCTTTAGTTGCTGCTCTCGGCGCTTGGCGCAGGGCTTTCATTTTCCACGATGTGCATCAATGCTGGCGCTTCGTGGAGCCACTCTGTTTTGGTCCATCCCCCTCCCCCTCCCCCCACTTTCCCCCCACTTTCCCATCGCCCCCACCGAGCCGGTGTGGCCTCTCCCATGTGTGTATTAATTATTCGTGGCGCGACCTTGTTGCCCTTAATGGCTTCCAATTCTTGCAGTCACCCCGTTGGTCCCCCTCCCCCCCCTCTCCGAGGCTTTGCACCCCCTGGACCCGCCACTGTCCGGGCCCACCGGAATCCGCGTCTCCTTGAAGAAGGACGGGAAAGCGTCGAGGCGAGCCGATTTGGCGACGCACAGTTGATTTGCCGGTGGAGGCGGCCAAAACTCTAGACGCGTTTTGAGCTCCAGAGTCGCTAATCGGGACTCGAACCGAACGTGTGACCCCACCAATGGATTGCTCTCCGAACGAGGAATCCATTGGTGGGGTCACACGCTCGGTTCGAGCCCCATTTAGCGACTCCGGAGCTCAAAACGCGTCTAGAGTTTTGGAAGGCTGCGGCGCGGTTCCATGAGGCGCGAAGCGATGGACATGTGTGCGCCCATGTGGTGCCGCTGGAAGTCCCTTTCCTGGAAGTGTGGCATCGTAAACCTTTTGCCTCTTCGCCGTGCTCCCGTTTTCCCTTCTGCAGTCTTTCTTCGCTCCGAATATGCCCCTTTTGGCGGACGCCGCGGTGATTTCAGGCTGTGTTCAGTGCAGGCATGGCAATCTCTATGTTAAAAATTATTTTTCTCAGTATTATCGTTGGTTTTACCAAGTAACTTCCGTAAGACCGCAGAATTGTTTACTGAAAAGCTTTTAAAATAACTTTTTAAATTTATTTTACGGCTAGCTACGGGAAGCT